TATGCCGATAGCATAAAAAATTAGATGTGATAGAGCAAATCTAAGATTAGATTTGGAATCACACCCTGAAATTAGTCTAAAACAGCTGCAAAGGTCCAGGCCAGAATATTTTTATTTTTTTTTGTTGACCAGTGTTATTTTTGAAAAATAATTTTATTGTTTAGTGTCGCTTTATCCACCAATCAGCACATCATTACATTTCTGTTTTTTGTCTCCTTCTTTAAAATATAAAGTGCATAAAAGAAAGAGCCACCACATACCCCCAGCCCCTGGCACTGCTTTGGAAACACCACATGGGGCATTTGTCGGCATACCGCCATGCTCCCCATTCCCATTGACCTCCCAGGCTAAGTACTCTGCTTGCAGTCATTAACATTCACTGCTTTTTGCTTTTATCATTTCCCAAGTTTCCTTAATTTATTGTATCAAAACTGTTGTTTTAATCTTTGATATTTGACACTGATATCGTTTTATCTTTTCTTTTGCTTCATTTGATGATTGAAATAAGAATGGTAATAATATTGTACTGTTCAGAGCCCAGTACTGAGGTAGTGCATAAGGTTATAATGGATGTTTTGTTCTTCCATATCACTACAAACATTATATTTGCACACTTTAAATGGCTTTGTACTTTTCCTTCCCATGGCTTTAAACAAAACCTAAAGTGTTACCCTACATTCACTATATCTGGTCTCCCACAGTACACAGAACATGGAAATGCAATTATTTTTAGTAAATAAAAAATGATAAATACCTTTTCTCATCAGCATTATATAGCAGTTTTCTGACTTCTATCAGTGTCCAGCTGAGCAATGGTTAATCTTGTAGGAGGCATTTTCATGAAAAAAATATTTTAGTAGCCTGGGGAGGAGTTGGAACACCAAACTGTCATGTTAATATGGCTAAAAATAGGGAAAGAGCCAGCACCCAACCCAAAGACTTTCAATATTTTAATGGGGTAGTTTTGTGATTATCACACAGAGATGTGAAGAAGGAGACCTTTTTGGCTTTCTGTGTCTCCATTAGGAGAGATTTCTCAACACTTCTTGTCCAGGTGATGGGAACATGTCCCTTCCTGCCCAGCCCTGGTGTCCTTTAACTGGCTCTTTTATGCCCAAGGCACAGGAAGGACTGTCTAATCACATGAGCATTGTGATTGGCTGTCGCATGATCAGGAGCCAGTCCTGCTGCTTCCTAATCATTACTAGAGAGCGGAGCTGTCTAAGGCCTCATGTACACTGCTGCTCCTAAACGTGAGTTGAGGAGCTTTTGGGGTTTTTTTTGCCAAATCCCCTGAACTCAACTCAGTAATACCCTATGAGTCCATGTACACATAGGCTATTACCAGAGTTTAGAAGCAGCAGAGTTTAGGGGCAGCTCAACATTCCTCTTCTGAACGCAGAATAATCGCGTTCAGGAGAGGAACGTTTTGGCCAAAAAATGCTAAACACAGAAAAAACTAGTGTAAACGCGGCTAAACGTTAGGTATGTTTAGCGCTTGGGCATTTACCCATGTCATTGGAAAATACTCTGGCTAATCAAATGAATAAACGGCCAAGCGCTAGACATGGCTAAATGCAGGTAAATGTGGCTAAACGCGGTACTGTGTTTACATGCGTTTTTGCCACGTTTAGTGTTTTTCTGCTGCCAGGAAAGTTTAACGACTAGGTGAGTTCATGTGTACATGAGGCCTATGCCAGCTCAATCACTATGGTAGTAGTACGCAGTGAGCACACTCTCCGCACAGAAACCCTGGGCGTCCCTCTTTGTCACCACACATACTGTATATTGCCATGTTACATGGGTGACAAAAGGTTATAGGGGACACAATGACATTTAAAACCTAACAGATATAATAACCTTTCCCCACTGTATCCAAGACTAGAGTAATACTGTACACTTGGGAGAAAGAGCAGTGGGTTGAGGGTTCCAGCAAATCTAAAGTTGGGTCAGGGAGGAAATGTAGGTTATGAAATCTAGTGTTGGGTCAGGGAGGAAATGTTGGTCATGCAGTGTTGGTTCTTTACACACAGAAATTGTGCTGGTAGATCTAATAGTAGCAGCTGGCAAAAACAATTAGATAAATTGTGTACAAGCATATAAATGTATATTTACGCATTATATTTTGTGACAAGTGAAAAATATTAAAAACATAATACTATGATAAACCATATGAAAAAGAAGAGACACAAAATGTTACAGTTTTGTTCAAATCCATGAAAAATAATAAAAACATAATATTATAATAAACCATATCAAAAAGAAAAGACACAAAAAGTCCTTGTTGTGTTCAAATCCGTGAAATATATAGTGAAAAAGTCCTTGCTTGTCCACAAACTTCCAACATCAAAGTGTACCACCACCATAAGCTCAAGGACTTTTACCTGAATATATGAACTCTTTTGGTAAAGAAAGAGTTGCAAAACTTGAATTGATAAGTCACCTACAGTGGACCTATCACCTCCAAGTCTCCGCATATGGTCACCAAAACTGAAATTCACGCCCAGTATCACCTCCACATCTCTCTCCATCAACAGGACATCATATCCAATAACAGGAGATATCAATTTGTGACTGAAAAAACAAAGTGTAAATGTAAATATTTTTATCAAAAAGCAAGGGTTAACTAACCACTCACAATAAAAGAAAATTTACAAGCACTTGTAGAAATAAAAGTACCAGTCTAGGGAAATGATCTGGTCCACTTCCTCGTTGTAACATGTGTGGTGTCATCATGAATGTAAGCTCCTCCCTACATGTTTCGTGATCCTGATGAAGTCAATTGTGCCGAAACGCATCTGGTGGCACTTACGTCACCATGACGTCATCATGCATGTTACAATGAGGAAGTGGACCACATAATTTCCCAGGACTGGTATTTTTATTTCTAAAAGCGCTTGCAAACTTTCTTTTATTGTGAGTGTTTATTAACCCTTGTTTTTTAATAAAAGTATACTTATGGTTTCACACTATGTGAGTTTTCTTGCTTCTCTTTCATGTCACAAATGGTTATCTCCTATTAGATATGATGTCCTTTGATTATCTGCAGAGATGTAGAGGTGATATTGGGCGTGCTATTCAATTTTGTTGACCATATGGGGAGAATCAGATAATAGGTCCACAGGTGACTTATCAATTCATGTACTTTTGTGACTCTTTTTTTTACCAAAAGAGTCCAACCAAGAACTTTACCACTTTCATTTTTCAAGGATTTGAACACAACAGGGACTTTTTGTATCTTTTTCTTTTGATATGGTTTATCATAATATTATGTTTTTATTATTTTTCACTTGATATAAAATATAGTGCAGCAATATATATATTTAAATGTTAGTTCTTGTTCTAATAAACTTTGTAATAGTTTCAAAGCTCTTCTGTGTACATTTGCAATTTTTATAAGGTGGTACTAAAGCCATGTAGTCTAATTTACTGCAGTAGACAGAACTGAAAGAACATGGAAACGGTACCTTTAGAAACCACCCCAATACCAGCTGTCATTTTTCTAGTGGAGGATTGTGCAAATTGGTTTCATTGGGCTGTTTTTTTTCCTTTTTTTCTAGTTCTGATCATCTAGACTGATTATCTGGAGGAATTATGTAAGGTGTGGCTCAACACCAAGGCACAGCAGACATTATCGTCTTGTTTCCATGGTAACCATAGAACCACTTGTGAGATGCTGAGCTATGCTTGAAGACATCCTGCTGTATGAGACTAACCGGCTTCATCTTGGCAGCAGTGACGGTCTATTTTGTATTTTTGTATCATATATAGGTACATATATTGTAAATTGCTTACATTTCCCTCCTGCTGAATCAGAATGTTTGTAGGGGGTGTCACCCAGTATTTGCTGAATTGCAGGTAGTGTATATTGCATACTGACTGACAGCTGGAATATGTATTGTCAAAATAGTTAACCTCACAAAATAAATAGTCTACAAATACAAATTATACAACAGAGTGGAGACATCCTATATTTCTATATGGAGTAGCCTGAAGCAGAGGTCCATATTCCGGATATATATATATATATATATATATACACACATCATATTGGAAAAAGTATTGGGACGCCTGCCTTTACACACACATGAACTTTAATGGTATCCCAGGCTCAGTCTGTAGGGTTCGATATTGAGTTGGCCCACCCTTTGCAGCTATAACAGCTTCAAACCTTCTGGGAATGCTGTCTACAAGGTTTAGGAGTGTGTCTATGGGAATGTTTGACCATTCTTCCAGAGGCGCATTTGTGGGGTCAGGCACTGATGTCGGATGAGAACGCCTGACTCTCAGTCTCCACTCTACTTCATCCCAAAGGTGTTATATCGGGTTGAGTTCAGGCCAGTCAAGTTCCTCCACCCCAAAGTCGCTCATCCATGTCTTTATGGACCTTGTTTTGTGCACTGGTGCACAGCCATGTTGGAACAGGAAGGGGCCATCACAAAAAAAAAAAAAAATAAAAAAAAAAAAAAAAAAAAAAATAAAAAAAAAAAAAAAAAAAAAAAAAAAAAAAAATAAAAAAAAAAAAAAAAAAAAAAAAAAAAAAAAAAAAAAAAAAAAAAAAAAAAAAAAAAAAAAATAAAAAAAAAAAAAAAAAAAAAAAAAAAAAAAAAAAAAAAAAAAAAATAAAAAAAAAAAAAAAAAAAAAAAAAAAAAAAAAAATAAAAAAAAAAAAAAAAAAAAAAAAAAAAAAAAAAAAAAAAAATAACAAACTGTTCCCACAAAGTTGGGAGCATGAAATTGTCCAAAATGTCTTGGTATGCTGACGCCTTAAGAGTTCCCTTCACTGGAACTAAGAGGCCAAGCCCAACTCCTGAAAAACCACCCCACACCATAATCTCCCCTCCACCAAACTTTACACTTGGCACAATGCAGTCACGCAAGTACCGTTCTCCTGGCAACCGACAAACCCATACATGTCCATCTGATTTCCAGAGAGAAAAGTGTGATTTTTCACTCCAGAGAACACGTTTCCACTGCTCTAGAGTCCACCTGGTGATGTAAGGCTTGGATGCAGCTGCCCAATCATGGAAACCAATTCCATGAAGCTCTCTACGCACTGTTGTTGTGCTAATCTGAAGGCCACACGAAGTTTGGAAGTCTTTCGCTATTGACTCTGCAGACAGTTGCCGACTTCTGTGCACTGTGCTCTTCAGCATGCGCTAACCCCGCTTTGTCATTTTACATTACCTACCACTTGGTGGCTGAGTCGCTGTTGTTCCCAGTTGCTTCCACTTTGTTATAATACCACTAACAGTTGACTGTGGAATATTTAGTAGCAAGAAAATTTCACGGATGGACTTATTACACAGGTGGCAACCTGAGCTCACTGAGCTCCTGAGTGCAACTCATTCTTTCACAAATGTTTGTAGAAGCAGTCTGCATGCCTAGGTGCTTGATTTTATACACCTGTGGCTATGGAGGTGATTGGAACACCTAAATCTAATAATTTGGGGTGCTGGCCCAACACTTTTGGTGATATAGTATATTTTTACAATAGAACACTATGTAAGCAGGATAAATCGTTTCCTTGTTGTAAAGTGCAATCAGTCTACATTGCACTTTAGATACTTGAAGAAGTATCTATGGCATGTCTGCAAAGTATTGTTTAAGATTTGCTTCACATGTATGGGTTTCAGTAACATGTTTTCTTTGCCACATGTTACCACAGAACACAATTATGCAAAGCAGTGTTACAGTGAAATTAATTTCAAATGGCACCCCATCGCACAAGTACGGTAGGTGCAGATGGACCACACTGCAGCACACTAGTGTAAATGTGTGCAGATCCGGTTTTCCTTCTGTTGCCATGCCTTTGCAGTTTATTCTAAATAAATAGGTTTCCATAGTGCACTGCACCTTAGCATACTGCATATGTGGTAACGCCATGCAAAAGAACAGCTAAGTGTGAAGATATCATTAAAGGTAAACTATATTTTTTCAACTTTTTTATTCCAGTTTTTACTATTTAAATAAAATATTAGTTTTTTTAATAAACATTTGTTGGGTACCCAAGACAATGGATTCACAGGGCTCTAAGGGTTTCTAAAAGCAGAGCACAGAAAGAGCTTTTTGCTTTTAAACATGATCTCTGATGGAATTTCCCTAGGGTCTCATATGAATAAGCAGTCAGAGGTGGGGAGTCATTCCTCTGACTCATTCAGTTGTGTGTGTATAAATTTGAGCTTGAGCTCTGAAAGCAATGGTTTTCTCTCTTGTTCTTTGCAGGAAACAGGGTTCAAAGACAATTGGGTTATACTGGCACCTAGAAGATAAGGACACTGGCAAACAAAAATCAGTGACTAGCCCAGTGTAACCTGAAGCCTATGCCTCAAGTAGGAAAAACTCATCCCCCCTCTGAGACCAAAAAGAGTCTTTTTGTTATTTTCAAAGTTAACTCCAAGCTAGTAGTTCAGTTCAGTGGAAATCTTGACTTTCAATTCCCTCAATTTCTGAAATTCTCTTCAGCATGAAGGGCTGTCCCTACTTTCCAAAGCAGGGGGATGTCTGTTAGGCTTTGAGGACACTTGGACAGGCTTGGGTATGAAAGGTAGTTTCCAAGGGCTAGAAGCTAGAGTTTTGCTCCCAGCCCAGGGGCGGACTGACAACTCATGGGGCCCCCGGGCAATAGGAGATCATGGGGCCCCTGTGTCCTTGCCCAAACTCAAAAAAGCCTATGAAAAAAGGTACCAGGGGCATCTCATGGGGGCCCCCTACTGACCCCGGGCCGTGCCCGAGTTTCCAAATGGTCAGTCCGCCCCTGTCTCAGCCCCATCCTTGGTTTCTACCTTCCAACCTGTCTGTCAGGGATCCCGGCTCCGTCTGCCGCAATCGCGGCTCTGTCCCCCGCGCATGCGCATTGGCGGCAGATCACGCCGGGACACAGGAACTAGGTCCCTGCGAGCCGCGGCTGACAGGACGCCGCGCATGCGCAGTAGAAACCGCGGGCGCGCCCAGGCGTCCAATGACAGCCGGGGGCGCGTCCTAGCCAGCCAATGACAGTGCAGGGCGCACTATTTAAAGATGCCCTGCACTGTCACAAATTGCCGCAAGGTCTATGTGTGATCCTGAATACCTGCTCCTGCTGTGACCCTGTTTTTGACCCTGACTACGCTGCCTGCCCCTGAGATTGACCCGGCTTTGTTCTGACTATTCTACCCGCTCCTGTGATTGACCCGGCTTTGTTCTGACTATTCTGCCTGCTCCTCCTGCGTTTTGACTCGGCTTATCCCGACTGTTCCTACGGATTGATTTACCCGGCTGACCCTGCGTGTGACCCGACTACTCCTAGCCCGCCGATTCGGTACCCCGCTTACCCCACGGGGCCACTATCCGTACCACCCTGCTGGGGCCGCCATCCTCTTCACAGCTGGCTCTCCTGGTACCTACATACATCCCCGGAGGCCTCCTCGGCCGCTGGTGGCCCGCTCAGAGGTCGTGACCTGGCCCGGGACTGTTTCAAGTCCATCCCCACCATCAGGGGCCCTGGTGAAAGCACAGCCCGGGCTTAGACCCCACGCTCTGGGTAGGTCTACCAGCTGGCAGACGGAGGGCTCCGCCTGGCGGATCCTAACACTGTCTGTGTGAATACACAGATTAACAAATCTCCATGTAGTCTTTGAAAAATCTTTTGGATCAAGGAGTTTTTGCCTTCATCAGGGGTTTCAGGGGTTCAATCATTGCACAATTCTCAAACCTCATGGAGCTATCTGCCCCAATTTAGATCTCAAGGCCTTAAATGTCTTCATTCAAACTCAACTGTATGGAATCTACCAGGTCTGTCATAGCCTTCTTCCATCAGGGAGACTTTCTGCCCTTTGCAGACATCATGGATGCATACTTGCATGTCCCCATCTTTCCAGCTCATCAGCACTTCCTTTACATTGCTGTGGGTCTTCAGCACTTCCAGTTTGTGATCCTGCCATTTGGTCTGTTTTCTGAGTGTTCAGCAAGGTTTTGGCCCTTGAGTTCAACTTGGTATGCTCCCATGGCATTCATATCATGGGATATCTGGATGACCTCCTATTGAGGGAGCAGCCAGTTCAGGTTCTGATCCACCATCAAGGATCCTGTCCTGAGCAGAACTCCACATTCCAGCTTTGTCTTCCATTTACATACTAGAAGTGAACAATTAGCAGATTCAAGATTTGAATCTTATCCCAGAGAATGTTAGCTTCTTAATACTTTGTACAAGGTGTCTCTCATGTAGCTCTCCCCGTGTGTTTTCCTGTGTCTGTGTGGGTTTTGAATTTAATTCTTCTGGCACTTAAAAAAACTAATTTTACCAGCATTAAGGATATTCCTATTTCAATTTTTACTCACACAGTTGTCTTTCTTGTCACAATACCCTCTGCTAGCTATGTGTCTGAGTTGGTGACCTTGTACTGTAAAAAAACATTTCTGGTCTTATACAGGCACAAGGTAGTTTTGACGCCTACAGTCTTTTCTTCTTAGGAGATTTCCCTTCATTGGCTCAATGTATTTCATGCTGTGCATGTTTACCATGCAGTTACTACTTTCATAAGAAAGATTAACTCTTTTTTTTTTGTCATCCATAATGGTCACCATAAAGGTGAACCAGCTTTTCGCTCCACCATTTCTTAGTGGCTTGGACAGATCGACATTCAAGCTTTCCACCCTTTCCTATCAGAGCACACTCTACTATATCTGTAAGTGCTTGTGGGTTTTTTCAGCATCAGGCAACTGTTTTCCAGATTCACACATTCTTCAAGTTCTACTATGTAGATGTTCTTGCCACTTATCATGCACAGCTTTGGGACTAAGGTCTTTCAGGCTGTTCTTTGAGCTGTAGGCAGTCCCCAGTTCTGTTATTGTCTATTCTGGGCCCTTTAGTGTTTTGCTGCTGTTTCCCACTCCTCAGCTGTATTGCTTTTGAGCGGTCCAAGTGACTCTGAATCCTATGTCCCACAATGAAGGAGAAAGAAAATCTGATTTTTATCTTACTGAAAAATCAATTTCTTGAAATTCATTGAGGGACACAGGTCCCACCCCTTTATGTCTATGATTTTGTTCTTGGCATTTTGCTCTTGGGAGGGAATATACTGGGCAGCATAACCCAATTGTCTCTGAACCCTGTGTCCCTCAATAAATTCCAAAAAATGAATTTTATGTGCAAAATTAAATTTTTCCAATATAGCAGTTAAGAATAGACAGGTATACAGTACATGAACTGAGTGATCCACCTTCTGCCTTAAAATATGCATTTTTTTATAAAAATGTGTTTAAAATGAAAAATGAATGTTTTAGCTCTGACTATAATATATATATATATATATATATATTTTTTGTGAGAACTTGCTTCAGAATGGTAGAGCTTTTCTTGTTAAAGCACACAGCAACTTGCTTCTTTCAGGGCCTTGTTGCCCAATTTTATGTAAAAGAAAAAGTTCCAGAAACACAAATGCTTCCCACACAGGGGTATCCAACATCAAACCAATTCAGCCTTCTGGCTCTTTCAGCTACACAGCTTTATATCTGTCTCCTGCTTCCACAAGGTTGTTTTTGCACACAGCAAACCTTTAGCACACAGCTATTCTGGCTCCCACCTCTACTAGGTGAAGCCCACCTGACTCCACAGCAGAGACCTCCCGTCTGCCAGGGTGGAGCCCTCCTGACTCCGTCTGCCAGCGTGGAGCCCAGAATCATGGCCTGGCCTCCACAAAAAGGCCTGCACACACCTGTGCAATCATCGTGCTGGCTGCTCTCAAAATATTTCATCCCTCCCAAATCTCTTAGAAATCTCCAGGCTACAGATCCCAAAACAGGCTTTACAAACCAAAGAGGAAACTGATAAGCCAGTTTCCTCTGTATTATGAGAACTGCCTGGAGCCCCTCAACCTGTATGGTTGAGAATCCTGGGTCTCCATCGTGATTTCCACCGTGGCAGGATACCGCACTGCCACAATATATATATATATATATTGTATATATGCAAACAAAATTACTAAACATTCCCTTTAATGTTTCCGTAACACAATCATAATACACAAGTACACAAGTATTATAGCATTGTCTCCTATTTAGTCTTTTGTAGTAGCATCATATGTAGTAAAATCTTGTGGGTTGTATGATTTTGCAAAACAAATAAATGTTACCCCTAACGATCCTGATATATTATTCCAAAGAGTCATCACACTCCAAAAGTTTCTTGCTTATAACAACTTTGTTATTGCAAGCATCTTCATAAAACACACAACAGTTTCAAGGCCAAGCATTGCACCTGATGAAGAGCTAGGTAAGTGTACAATAGATCAATGATTAATGAGAATTATATAAGTCTTCCTAGAGCCTTCCCAGAATCTAAATGACATCCTCTGTTTTTGTAATCAAAGAAAAAACCGATCATGTCTGCCAAGATGATTTTATTACAAAGATAAGTACAAGAGCAGATAAGCTAAAGTGATGAAATCACTGCTTTATCTCCATTACACCAGTAAAGGCCAATTTCTGCTTACTGAACACATGCTCACTGGGTGTTTAGCCCCATTGCATGGGACTTCAGGGTTTAGATGTCTGTGGAAGGCCCAGGAGCACAATCCAGTCCTGCAACTGGCAACCAAGTAAAATGTCTTTGATAGACTGATAGCTGCTGCAGCTGTATGGTGCACCAAGAGGTACTTATGTTTAGGGCAGTATGCGCCCAAGGATGAATGCTCAAAAATACATGCTGCTTCCATTCCATAGTCATTCATCCCTGGGTGCATACTTCCCTAAATGTAAGTACTGCTCAGCGCACCATCAGCTGCTACAGGTTTAGCCTGTCATACACTTTGATAGACTGTGAGGCAGGATGGTATGCATATGCCTTCCGCTCACATTTAAACTCAGCCTCATGCACGGGGCTAAACACCCAGTGGGCGTGAATCCTAAATCTACATGATATGACCAAAAGTTTGTGGACACCTGACCATCACACACAAGTGAACTAGTTGGATTTCCCATTCTAAAACCTTTTTTTTTTTACAGAGTTGGCTCCTCTTAAAATCTATAATAACCTTCACTCTTTTGGGAAGGGTATTGTTTTTGTAAATTATTTATTTAATATTTTAGGTATGAAATGAGGGGTAAAGAATGAAAAGATGGGTGGGATTACAAATGTCAAAGCAGCATGAGAATTTTGAAACAAACCAAGTCAGGGAGACCCTTTGATGTAGACATTAAAAAATCACATAAAATGTATGGATATAGTTCTTCATCAGTTTAAACAAAAGAGCTCAGTGCCACCATAGGTAGTCAGAGAAAACGAGAAATGAGTAAGAGTGGGAATTAAAAGCATAATTAAAAGAAGATTATATTTTTTAGAAATAGGGGAAGAGAGAGGGATAGCAGAAGGGAGGGGGGAGGAGAATTAATGCTACACAGTCCAAAAGAGGGACCACAAAAAGATGGATCGCAAGCCTAAAGTGGATTTAGGAAACCTGGTCAAGTGAGTGATGTGAGGTGGAAGTAAATTCATGCCAATAAAACCATACTTTTAGGGATTGATCACTCTTATTGGGAAGGGTATTTTCAAGATATTGGAGAGTGCTATGGCAATTTTTGTTCATTCAGCCAATTTGTGAGGTCAGGTACAAATGTTGGATGAGAAGACCTGGGTCAGAGCATTTCAATATATTCCAAAGGTGTCCAGTAAGGTTGGGGGTCAGGGTTATGTGCAGGTTGCTTCTCCACAAGTTTCTCCACACCAAACTCATCAAACCTTGTTTTTACGGAGTTGGTGTTGTTCACAGTCATGTTGGAACAGAAAGGGCCTTCCCAAAACTGTTGCCACAAGGTTGGAAGCTCAAAATTGCCTAAAATAGCTTTGTATGCTCTAGTATCAAGAGGACCCTTCGCTGGAAACACCTGAACTTGTTAAAGGATAAGTTCGCCTTTAAAAAAAAAAAAAGTAATTGCACATTTTTTTTTAAAGGTAAAAAAATTAGCATTTATTATTTTTTTCTAGGAGCTTGTAAAGCATTACACCCATGATCAGCAGATCGCAGATGCAGTGTCAGGCTCCTGCATACTGTCTGTAATTATCTGCAGTACCTCTGAGCAGGCAGTTACTGAATGACAGGAAGATCAATGAACTACCAGAGGGCTCATCAGCCTCTGGTAAATCATTGAGAACTACAAACCACAGAAATGGATGGCAGTACTTGAATGACACGAACGTGTGGGCAGAGCCCCTGTTTTTAGAGAAGATCTCTGGCCCACTATGATAGGGAGGGGTGATCGGGGGAGAGCAGGCATATACTGAACATATTACATGTTACCCCATAAATATGGGTGTAACATGTAACCTGTTCACAAAGGTGAACCTATCCTTTGATTTGGATAGATGTCTACATACATTTGGCCATATAGTGTAACCCAGTTCCCTGCAGAGTATGGCTGCATCCTCCCTACCAAAAAAGAGATCAGAGGGAGGAACCACTGAACAATCTTGGAGAACACCACAGAGATCAACTCACAAAAAAGTGTGGGTTTCCCAAGGGTTTCCCAACAACCTTCAGCCAGGGATTTATTGTTAACAGAACAGAGTTCTAATGGTGCAGGCAACTGTAATGGTAAATATTTATTTGAATCTTTTCCAGATATGTCTGATTGGAATTCTGTTTGTTCATGTCATAACACAGTCCCTTTTAGTGTCTTTTTTTTTAGGTAAAAGTCAAGTCCACATCCCTGGTCATATTTCCATTATTTGAGGCTGAATAAAGAATCCAGATTTGTATGTAGTATATACTGTCATTTACAGACTTCTACACCAGTCACCAGTAGAAAAAGAAGGATAATATAGAATGTAAATTACTTAAAGTGTAACTTCAAACAACATATTTTATGGTGTAGGTAAGAGATAGAACCTATGTGTATCATTAATTGGGCAGCACAGTGGCTAAATGGTTAGCACTTCTGCCTGGCAGTACTCGGGTCGTTGGTTCGAATCCCAGCCATGGCACCACCTGCCTGGAGTTTGCATGTTCTCCCTGTGCGTGCATGGGTTTCCTCCCACACTCCAAAGACATACTGGTAGTATAATTGGATCCTGTCTAAATTGGCCCTAGTATGTGTATGTATGAATGTAAGTTAGGGACCTTAGATTGTACACCCCTTGATGGTTAGGGACTGATGTGAATGTACAATATATATGTAAAGTGCTGCATAAATTGATGGCACTATATAAGTACCTGAAATAAATAAATAAAATAAAATTAATTGCTGTCTGCATCCTAGAGTTTACTGCTCTGAGAACTACATGGGAAAAGGGAAATCTCCCCAACAAGGACATGAACAGCAGTAAAAAAAATGGCAGAGGTTCTAATGCTTCCACTAGTAACAAAAAATGCTTTGTTGCTGTCTGTGTCTCCAATGAACATATACTGTATGTGTGTATGTATATATATTTACACACTATATTGTCATAAGTATTGGGACCCCTGCCCTTACACACACATGAACTTTAATGGCATCCTAGTCTTAGAAGGTAGGGTTCGATATTGAGTTGGCCCACCCTTTGCAGCTATAACAGCTTGAGCTCTTCTGGGAAGGCTGTCCACAAGGTTTAGGAGTGTGTCTATGGGAATGTTTGACCGTTCTTCCAGAAGCACATTTGTGAGGTCAGTCACTGATGTCAGGCGAGAAGGCCTGGCTCACAGTCTCTGCTCTAATTCATCCTGTCGGGTTGAGGTCAAGATTCTGTGCAGGCCAGTCAAGCTCCTCCACCCCAAACTCGCTCATCCATGTCTTTATGGACCTTGCTTTGTGAACTGATGCACAGCCATGTTGGAACAGGAAGGGGTTATCTCCAAACTCTTCCCACAAAGTTGGGAGCATGAAATTGTCCAAAATGTCTTCGTATGCTGACAACTTAAGAGTTCCCTTCACTGGAACTAAGGGGCCAAGGCCTACCCCTGAAAAACAACCCCACACCATAATCCCCCCTCCACCAAACTTTACACTTGGCACAATGCAGTCAGGCAAGCACCGTTCTCCTGACAACTGCCAAACCCAGACATGTCCATCTGATTTCCTGACAGAGAAGTGTGTGATCCATCACTCCAGAGAACACATCTCCACTGCTCTAGAGTCCAGTGGTGGCGTGCTTTACACCACTGCATCTGACTTGTTGTATTGCACTTGGTGATGTAAGGTTTAGATGCAGTTGCTCAGCCATGGAAAACCATTCCATGAAGCTCTCTAAGCACTGTTGTTGTGCTAATCTAAAGACTACACAAAGTTTGGAGGTCTTTAGCTACTGACTCTGCAGACAGTTGGCAACTTCAGAGTTAACGCTGATCCCACCCTTTCATTTTATGTGGCCTACCACTTCGTGGCTGAGTTGCTGTAGTTCCCAGTTGCTTCCACTTTGTTAAATTATCACTAACAGTTGACCATGGAATATTTAGTAGCAAGGACATTTCACGGATGGACTTGGACAGATGACAACCTATCACGGTACCATGTTTGAATTCACTGAGCTCCTGAGAGCGACCTATTCTTTCACAAATGTTTGTAGAAGCAGTCTGTATGCCTAGGTGCTTGATTTTATACACCTATGGCCATGAAGGTGATTGGAACACCTGAAGTGATTTGGAGGGGTGTCCCAATACTTTTGGCAATATAGTGTATATATACTGTATGTATCCCATTTACACCAACAAATCCTCAAGCAATGCATATTTTGCTTCCATTTTTAATGTGTTTTCTTCTGTTTTGTACACTGTGCCTCATCTACTCTTTCTGAATTAGATTCAGAGCTTTGCAATCAGCCGTTTGGAACGCCCTAGCTGGGATGTGTTGGACCTCTGCAGTGAGATTACTGCTTGAATACTGATAGTAATAATCCTCTCTGCAACATGGTGCAGGAGGAGTCTGGAGGAGTCTGGATTAGAACTAAGGCTCTGATTTGAAGAACATTGTAGTATGGAGCTTTAATTAAAATAGTAAAATTTTCTTTAAACTTCAATTGTGCTTTAAGAGATGCTGTGCCTAATTCAGACAGCAAGAGGACCAAAATGTCAATACTGTTCTTGGCTGTATTGATGTAGCTGTGGAAGTTCCCCTGGGAAAAGTGTTACTCAAATCAGATCAAGAAGGGTTTTTTTGCAGCAGATATACAGATTGTATATTCAGCAAGCCACTACTGACATGGCTGTCAGCTTATTTAAAATGTAACTGAATAGGGTTGGGTGTGCAGAGGGGGTACTTGTAATAATGTGAAAATATTCAGAGCATGCATTATGTTCCAGTGATGACAGTTCCATACTCACTGATTTACAGCCACCAGAACTACAGGCGTACCTCGGTTTACGAATTTAATTTGTTCTGCAGGACTTTTCGTATTGCGAAAAATTTGTAAACCGAAACACAGTTTCCCATAGGAATGCGCTGAAAACCAATTAATCCGTACTGGAGGTCATAAAAAAGTTTAAAAAAAGTATTTTATCTGTTCAAAACTCTTTATAAAGTACACTTTAAAGGCATAAATACTGTACAGGGACGTGATTAAAAGTTAATTCGTAAATGCATTGAAAACCAATTAATCCGTTCCAGAGGTCAGAAAAAAGTAAAAAAAAGTCTTATCTGTTCAAAACTCTTTATAAAGTGCACTTTAAGGGCATAAAGGGACATGATTAAAAAAACATTTGTAAATGCATTGAAAACCAATTAATCCGTTCCAGAGGTCAGCAAAAAGTAAAAAAAAATGTTTATCTGTTCAAAACTCTTTATAAAGTGTACTTTAAAGGCATAAAGGGACATGATCAAAAAAAAGCTCAATGTGAATTTTAAATCAGAAAAACAAAGCTTTAAAGCAAGCTACGTCTGCTCTGCTGTCTCCTTAGCTAACTAATAGTACTCTTCTGTCATTTTAAAAGTGTTACTAAATCCACAACATAAAAATCAGTCTGTATATGCAGTAAAGCATGCTTGTTATACTCACTGTGGAACCTAAGGGGTTAATCCTCCATACTGTCTATAAAGTATTTTTTATTCTGTCTTCTCTGATCCTCCCCTTCTTTTACTGTCATCCACATTTGCACATGCCCTGCTTGGTGTTCAATGCTAGAGAAGTTTTTTTTTTTTTGTTGGAGGGTGCATGTGATCTGCACAGAGCCAGCAACGCTATCAGGACAGAGGGTTAGCGGCAGGGGCGGACTGACAACTCATGCGGCCCCCGGGCAAGAGGGGATCATGGGGCCCCTGTGTCCTTGCCCACACTCAAAGCACACCCAAAAAAGCCTATAAAAAGGTACCAGGGGCATTTCATGGGGCCCCCTACTGACCCCTGGTCAGCAGTCATGCAGCCTCAGAGGACAGTCAGAAGAGAATGAAAACTCCTCCTAAAAGATGGAACCAGCGCTCGGCCAGACACTGATAGAAGTCACAATACTCCTATATACTGCTGATTAGAAACGGTATTTAGCAGTTTATATTTACTAAAATAATTGCCTTTCCATGATCTGTTTACTGTAGGACACCAGATATAGTGAATACAGGGTCCTGGGTTTAGTAAAACCTTAAGGACTCATTCACACTAGAATGTGATGCAGGAGAGCTGCGTTCCCGTGTGCTTCCCGTACAGCATTCCGATCGCAATACCCTTGCAATCTGTTGTGGGGGTCAATTAAAGTTAATGATACCCCAAACGCAGGTCACAAACGCATTACGTTTGCCCGCAACGGCCTGCACCAAACAGCATGGTATAAAGTACCATGCGATGAGCTTGCTGTGCATTTAAAAAAAGTAGTTTTAGCGTGATGTGGTGCTATTTCAGCCCATTCAAATGAGTGTGCTTAAGGCAGTATGACCTCTTCAAGTATTCTGATGTATTCAAACTGATCCATGATCCCTGGTATGCGATAAATAGGCCCAACACCGTAGTATGAGAAACATCCCCATATCATGATGCTTCACTGTCTTCACAGTGTACTGTGGCTTGAATTCAGTGTTTGGGGGTTGTCTGACAAACTGTCTCCGGCCACTAGACCCAAAAAGAACAATCTTACTTTCATCAGTCCACAAAATGTTGCGCCATTTCTCTTTAGGCCAGTCAATGTGCTCTTTGGCAAATTGTAACCTCTTCAGCACGTCTTTTTTTCAACAGTGGGACTTTGCGGGGGCTTCTTGCAGATAGCTTGGCTTCACATAGGTGTCTTCTAATTGTAACAGTACTCACAGGTAACTTTAGACCTTCTTTGATCTTCCTGGAGCTGATTGTTGGCTGAGTCCTTGCCATGGCTATTCTTCTATCCATTCGAATGGTAGTTTTTTGCTTTCTTCCACGTCTTTCAGGTTTTGGTTACCATTTTAAAGCATTTGCGATCATTTTAGCTGAGCAGCCTATCATTTTCGGCACTTCTTTATATGTTTTCCCCTCTCCAATCAACTTTTTAATCAAGGTACGCTGTTCTTTTGAACAATGTCTGGAACGACCCATTTTCCTCAGAATTTCAGAGAGAAGTGCAGTGTAACCAGCATGTACAACATTTGCTGCCTTCCTTCCTTAAATAAGGGCAATAACTGCCACCTGTTTTTCAAAGAATGAATGACTTCACTAATAGAACTCCACACTGCTATTATTTTTGAACATGACCCTTTCAATTAGTGATTCAATTACACAGAATGAGCAGCATGCATGTCATGACTGTTGGGTCTGTTGGATTTCTATTACTCTACTACACTTGCTAGTAAATTATTTGCCATGTAGAAATATAATTTCTACCAAAAACAGTGATTGATCAGGTTAGTGATGTCTGACTGCTATTATTTTGAACACAACTGTATATACAGTATATACAGACCAGGGGTGGACTGACCATTTGGGAATTCGGGCACTGCCCGAGGGCCCGGGGTCAGTAGGGGGCCCCATGAGATGCCCTTGGTACCTTTTCTTAGGCTTTTTTTGAGTGTGGGTGAGGACACAGGGGCCCCATGATCCCCTATTGCCCGGGGCCCCATGAGTTGTCACTCCACCCCTGATACAGACTGATTTATATACAGTAGATACTTGCTCCCACTTCTGCAATCCTCACCTAAGTGAGAAGATGCTGTTAGCCCCACCCTCTCCCATCCTTCAGCTTTCTGGGACATGTCACATATCCCAGGAGGCTGTAGGCATATTCACCTAGGACCATCCATAGAGTGCCACATGAGCTCACACATGCACAGTGGGACTTCATGGAATTCCCATATCCAAGGTGGCAGTGCTGGGGACCAGCAGCAGTAAGAATAACCAGCCATGGGAACACAACGCTGGACTAAAGGTGCTGATGAGTACCTGATTTTTAAGAGTCAGCAGCTACATTATTTAAAAAAAAGTGAAAATTACATATGGACATATGAAGAGTAATTATCAATGTAGATACATCAATTTGGGTATTATAAATTATGTGATTCAGGTCAGGACCAGGATGACAGCTCCAGATCTTGCAAATCAGTAGTAGCAACTACCATTTTCCATTGAATAGAAGGGATTTTTTTTATGTGCTGGAGAATTTGTATTTCTGTCCATTCAGTCCAGAGATGTTCATAGCCATGGCCGACAGCTGAAACAGGTTATGACCCACATTTTCCCTACTGCAGATATGAAATACAGCTAAAACAGGCCATACATAACCAATTTTCTTTCAACCATGGGTTGCAGAAAAGAATATTTCTCAATTCCTCATCATCACAGTCAGAATACAATGATTACTGCTAGCAGCTATAGCTGTCGGCAGTGATTGCGTGGAAAAAAGTCAACAGGCTGGTTGCACTGAAGTTGATTGATGGTTTGATTTCTGTACAACCAGCCTGCCCATAGATGGATTAAAATTCAGCCAGTCCATGCTAAACCAGATGAATTTTGATCTATCTATGGCTGGCTTAAATCACCTCCCTGCCCTAAGCCTGTAATTGGGCAATGATGGAGAAGCAGCAGACTGATGTCTTATCACTCTGCTCTCTCTTCTTTTCAATACTTTTTCATATCAGCATATGTTATGGGCAGCAGTGTCGGGACAAGGTCATCTAACGCCCATGACGAAGATGCCAAAGTGCGCTCACACCAAGATGAATGAGCATTATATGTCTGCAAACAGCCACCCCCCCCCAAAAAAAAATCAAGAACGAATCTGTAATCTAGCCCCCTAAGCATATATTCTCATTAAAAGCCAAAATTCGCCCCAAACAAAAATTCCCCCTCCCCCAGTACAAATCTCCCCTGCTGAAATCCCCCTCCCGGCACAAATCTTTGACCCCTAGGGTTTCCTTGCCTGCTCCCAGCTCCTCTTTGCTGGGAGGAGATGGGGACAGGTAAGGAAACCCTGCACAGTCCTGATCTGATGGTCCCAATGCAAGAGCACTGTAGTGACAGGAGGAGTTGCAAGGGAGAGAGAGCACAGCTCTCTCCTCCTCCAGGCTCTCTTCTGCTGTTCTGATTCTGCTTGTCACTACTTCTGTTACCTTGTAGCGGCAGGAATGCTCTAAGTGGTGCCCCCCCCCCCCCCACCTCACATGAAACCACAGTGCCCAGGGCAGCTGTCCCTCCTGCCCTCCCCTTGTC